CGACTTTGAACTGAAGCCAGTAAAAGGGAAGTATAACGTTGTTGCTGATGCGCTCAGTAGACGGGCTGACTTTTTCCGCGCTATAGTGACATACTTGGACGCAAGAGCCGAGTTGCAAGAGAAGATTAGGTCCGCCTATGCTAGTGATCCAGTCTATAGTCAATTGATCAACAAGGTGCAAACAGCACCTCACAAAGTTCCGGACATTAGAATGGGACAAGGACTGTTGTTTGAGAAGACCGACGCGCACGATAGACTGTGCATACCAAACAGTGAGGAGATTTGCAGCTTGATCCTAGGGGAATCCAACTACACTGAGGAGCATTTCAGTTGGAGGAAGACTTATGATAACCTCCTGCGTTCCTATACATGGGCTGGAATGAAGCATGACTGTATAGCCTATGTTCAAGACTGCAAAGTGTGTCAGAGGAACAAGAGTTCCACGCAATCTGCCCTTGGTTTACTTAGACCGCTGCCTGTACCGTCGCGTCCAGAAGACACCATGTCTATAGACTTTATGGACACTAAGGTGAGGTAGGAATGGGAAAAGTCAGGTTATGGTGATAGTGGACAGATTTAGCAAGTTTGCTGTATTTGTACCACTCCCTGCTGAAGCAAGGACAGATTTAGTACTTCGGGAGTTCTTTAATCCTTGCGTGAAAGACTACGGGCATCACTTGACTATTGTAACTGACAGGGATACATGATTCACGAGCGAGCACTTGCAACAGCTCATGAGTGTCTATGGATCCAAACTGACTATGTCTTCAGGCACTCATCCTAAGACATACAGCAAGTGCCGCGTATGTACATCCGGCCAGATCAGATTGACTGGGATAAACATCTAGCTAAAGTCGCTAGTCCCTATAACAATTCTGTGCATTTGGCTACAGCTAGAACACCCACTGAACTGCATTTGGGACGGCACCCATGCAGGCCCATCGACTGTCTGAACCCTGATCAAGTGCAAAGGCTTCAGCCAGGAACCAGAGAATTCGCTGTACAGGATGAGAAAGACGTAGGAAAGGTAAGGGAGAACATCCGAAAGGCACGGCATCAGATGATAGAATAAGCAAATAAACACTGCAGACCTTCGCAGTTCGCTTAGGGAATTTGGGGGTGAAGTCTAAAGAGTTTTTCCCAGAGAAGAACATCTCGCAGAAGTTATTGCAGCGTATAGAGGATCAAGGCCGATACTCGACGTGATTGGTGATGTGGATGGTCCTTCCTACGTTGTTCAGATTCCTCCGCATTTGCACACTTATCCTGAAACGGTATTCACCAGTTCGCAGTAGCCGACGCAGATCCCAGGGCTCGATCCCGCGACCTGTGTATTTGTAGCAGCTAGTAGGTCGTTGTAGGGCCTGTAGGTAGCATGGGTTTGATC